CATGAGTAGTCCCAAAAACCTCTTTTATTGCAACAACTGTGAATTACTTTCATTCACAGCTGAGTCCCAATTAGTTGCAAAAAGTCCTTTGGGAGAAGTCCTTCAGGATAATCACCAACCTTTATCCCCTTGACATGCTGCCAAAGACCTACTTGGCAAAGCCACACCGAGTCCAGAATCAAACAGAGATGCCGACTAGGAACAGAATTAACAATGTTGCTTTCCTGCAAAGTGCCCACGTGCCTTTGCTTCTCCTTTATGTCTTATGGGAGGGGCCAATCATCTCCAGGCCTTACTCCCGAGTCATCCCTTTTGTTTTAATTGTTCTTGCCTTCTGGTAGCTCTGCGCATGCGCACACTAGGAACAGGCTCCTCTCGTTCCTCTGTCTCTCTGATGTCCGACTCTGGAGGCTCCGGAGTCCGCATATAACTCCCAGATGGCCCTGGCCCCATCTCTGCGTCCGATGCAGAGCCCTCGTCCGAGCCTTCCCCAGACTTCAGGACTGGCCAATGTTCCTCCCCAGCCTCCTCACTGTCCGACTCTGCTGCCAACTCCACAGGCTGCTGGCGAACCACAATGATTTACTTGCAATTATTCTGTCTGATTTGCAATGGTGAAATTAAAAAAAAAAACACAGGTCAGGCACAGGAGGAAGTGTACTGGATATAATGGTGATTACGTATCCGAGGGAAGCTGAGAAGTTTGTAAATAGGCTATAATGTTATTTTTTTTCAGCATTGTTTGAACAGTTGCTGAGCGAATGGTCAGTAGGTGTAGACTACCCAAAGTCTAAAAGAATATGGAACCTAAGGCTGAAATTGTTATTACTTCGGTGAACATGACCTCTATTACTACAGAAAACACTTTTGAATGTCTTATAATATATTGTACATCAGTGTTCATGAGAGCCTGGACAAGAATACGCCAGTTCTGCTTATGTAATCTCCAGTGCAGCAAAGAGTGAGGAATAGTTTACAAAGAAAACTCCTTTATTTATTCAATTTCTCTTGGAACCATGCAGCTCTTTAAGGCAGCTTCGCTTCACTGAGATTTCAATGGCAGCATCCTTTCGAAGTGAAGCCAGAGATTGAAATGCTTCTTTGCTCTCCCCTGTAGAGGTAGTGTGAAGAAGCTGCATTTGGCAAAGTGGGATGTTTCTCATGGCTTGGCCTCCCACCACGATTCTTTGCTAGGGCAAAACCACACACTCCAGGAGGCACCTTATCGTGCTGAGGGAAATTGACATGTCTCTGCAAGGGGGATCGGAAGCGATCTGAAGGCCTTTTCCACGTTGCTTCTCAGACAAGTATGTCAGGCAGCAAAAAGTTGAAAACAAAGCTAAAATCAGTTAACACTAAAGGGCCTGGCAGAAGAGATGTGTTTGTAAATGCAGAGAGAAAGGGAAAGCCAAAAGGGGGTGAGGGTGGGGTAGACATTACATCACTTCAGAATAATTCCTCTCACAGTGGGGATTTGGTCAGGAAATTTTAATGGCCAGATTCCTGACAGGAGAAGAATCCCATATTCAAGGCTCAACATGTTAAAATTACAAATAAAAGGGAACATGTATGGATCAGGGTTGAAATGAGGAGTCTTTGATGCTCTCTGAGCTTGGTCGTTTTCTTGCAGATGCTTCATTACCCAAACTAGATAACATTATCAGTGTTCAGAAAGCACCAATGGCCCCTCAGGTCAAACTCATCTTGATCCCATCCTTGCTTATTTTCCCTCATCCATCCTAAAGTTCCAAACAACCTTCACCTTACTAGATTCATGCAGTGAATGAATAGCACTGGGGCCTAGAAGGAACAGTATGGGACAACCAAGGCGTCCCATATTCACTAGCACTACTTTCTGAATATAGCTTTATAGAAGGTCCAGGTCTCCTGCAGGACAATGTTGCCGTGGCTCTTTGTTTTGCCAATGGAGGGCAGAGGAATCATGAGAGTTGAGGCAGCGTCAATCCATTCATCCTTTTCTCTATTAGAAAACACTCGAAGAGCATAATTTTCATCCTCTCCTGACAAATAAGCTTAAAACTACCCATGAAAGATATATATATTTCAGGTTATCTGCTGATCACCTCTATCTTAGGTAAAGGCCTCTCCGACATTTTCACTTACTGCCACTGATTTTGATTTATGTAAATTGTAATCAATGATTCCCTAATGAACAGAAATGTATGGTAAAACAATCTATTATGATAAAATGTGAACGGCTGTTAAGATATATCGGAGTTAATAAAATAAAAGTTAATTCCTCTTGACCCCTCAGACAATTTATAAAAGTTGATTTGTTGTTATTAGAACTTAACTGCAAAACAAAACAAAAGTTACAGCAACTACATTAAGCAGAACCACATTTCAGCCTTGGTAAGAGAACCCGAAAAGTTTATAGGTAGCTATGATAGAAAGTTAGCAGAATTCACTAAAGAAAAACAACACTGACATTTTTGCAGTTTCCTAGAATTTTTTCTTCATCTTTTCTTCATCTTCATCATCACATATTACTTTGCAGAAAAAATTATGGGTTAACATTGTGGCCAATTTTTGCTTATCTATACTTGGGGATGGAGGTTTGTTCTCCGAGCTTGTGGGTGGTTTTTGAATGTTTCGTTACCAGAGTAAGTAACTTGTTCAGCTGTTACCTAGCTGAAAGATATTACCTAGCCTAGTAATGAAACATTCAGAAACCAACCCACAAGCTGGGAGAACAAACCCTCACCTTACACCCGAGCTACAGATATTCACCACAATCGCACATCTATACTTATCCAATGCTTTGGTTCATTATTTCTTTTCTCCCTAATGCATCTTTTTAAAGTTTGTTCTGGGGTCCCACTGCAGTTAGCACAGTAATTCCAAGTGACTGTTTCCAATTCAATATGAAAGTGATGCTAAGGAAAGGCCGTGTTTTCTGTTACTGTTCTAAACTGGCTCTATATAGGTAGTCCTTGTTTAACCAGTGCAATTGGGATCAGCAACTCAGTCACTAAACAAAGTGGTTGCTAAGTGAAAAATGATGCAACCACAGCTTCTAATTTTACTTCAGCTTTCCTTTGCTTTATAGTGTCAGAAGGATACAACTCTAAGCAACAGAGCAAACTCAAAGAGCAGGAAAAAAATTGACTCATGAGAAAGCCTGGTAAAACGGCAAATTTTATAGCCCCGCTATACTTATCCATTCCCCACTTATTCTTTGGAATGCTCACCCCAGTGCTGGGATGATTAGCAAGAAGGGAAATAATGTTGGTAATTACTTTCATTAGAGAGGAACTCAGCAAAGTAAGAAGCAGACACACAATAAGGACTATACATCGAAATGAATGCACTGGCGATGGCTGTTTGCCTACTCCACTTGCAGGTGTGAGCACTGAGCCACTTAGGAAGCAAACAAACTCCTTTAGTATGAAATTGATTAGGGGTCTTGTCAATTTCAGGCAACAGCTGAGAGCCTACTGAGTCTTCTAATCAGCCAATTAAGGTCACAACTGAGTTTGTTATCTTGCGGTTAGCACTTTTTAGGGACACCACCGCACTGCTGAGAAAAGCAGCTCAGGAAGATGGCCTGTTTAGGCAATCTCTCCACTCTGCAAAGGGTTTGGGGGTGGGGTAGGGGAGAAAAACCCTGGTCAGACACAGAATGATATGTATTAACTGTCTGTAATGGTGAGCATGGGACAGAGAGATAGATGCTGTGAAGATTTGTAAATGCAAGCACTGATTGCGATGTGACTGTTTTATCACTGTTGTAACTACAGTCGCTATCCAAGGCAATTGTTAAACAAGTGCCTTCATAAATAAATTTGCCCTGTAGTAATATAATAGGAAGACAGCATCTCATCATACTGAAAAAATATTATCACCATTCATAGCCCCTCTTTTCAGTTCTTCAAGACTAGGGCTTTTTACAGGTTCTAAATATTTACTGTATGAAAAATGAGCACTGATTTTCAGTTGTTCCATTAAAAAAAACCCTTTGACTGGAAATCATAATTCATCACAAACTGCTTTTCTCTGAAGAAATATTTCTAAAACTGGAAATAAACTAGAAAGAATAATAAATTCAATTCTACTGTATGGTTAAATCTTTCGTAATATCAAGCTATTCTATACACCCTTTTTTGAAGTTTTTTTCTCCTTATAATAATGTGGAATTATTAAAAAAAAAAAAATAGAAGAAAGCAATTTTGCCACAAAAGCAGTAATAAGATTCTAACAATGTTTAGATCTTTTAAAATTGATTTTTGAATAGATTTTTAGCCAAAGAAATACCTAGATAAAGGCAACTACGGATAGTAATAAAAAAGCAGATACTATCTCATTAAATTTCCAGTAAACACTAAATAATGATGTCTATATAGAAAAAAACAAACTAATTTTTGATGGACAAACTAACTGGAAGTTTTTATAATAGCTACGGTGGGTAATATTATTTTCAGTCACCATTTTTAATATTGGAAAATTGAATAGGGAAGTTGGGAAAATATATTGTTCAGATACCTGTTCTTCTTTATACAGGCAGTCATTGAATTATGACCACAATTGAGCCCAAACTATCAATTGCTAAGCAAGGCAGTTGTTAAGTGAGTTTTGCCCCATTTTATGACCTTTTTGTCACAGTTGTTAAGCGAATCACTGTAGTTACTAAGTGAATAATGTAGTTGTTAAGCAAATCTGGCTTCCCACATTGACTTTGCTTGATCACATGACCCCAGGACAGTTCAATTATCATAAATTCATGCCAGGCACCTGAATTTTGATCACTGCAATGGTCATAAGCATGAAAACTGGTCATAAGTTACTTTTTTCAGTGGTGTTGTAACTTTGAACGTTCTCTAAATGAATGGCTGTAAGTCAAGGACTAACCTGCATGTTGTATTTTTAATGTGCCTCACTTGCAGTTCAACTGTTGTCATGGCTCTTCAGCCCAAAAGTGCCATTTCACAGAGTTCATCATCTTGGATGCATATATATCACTGTATTTGCTTTATTTTCAGATCGATAAGTATGCTCAGCGGGACCTGAAGAAAGGGCTTCATTTGTACGGAACTGATGGAAATATTGGTTTAACTAATGCATGGAGCATCATACAAACAGATGTAAGCTTGTACTTCTTCATTGTTCTTTCCCATAACACCTGCAGGTGCTAACACCTACACACCCACCTGCCTGGCTTTGAATTTCCAATGGAAATATTGGAAATTTAATTTGGATTTCTATAAGCATTTGCCTTTAAAAAAAAAAAAAGCAAATACTACTGCACTGTACCTGACTTGGAATCAAAGCCCTGATGTTTAATGAATCTTTCCGTGGCCTACTTTGGAATCTACAGATAAGGGTTTAATTTGAGGCTTTGGTGCTCATCGGCATGCAGAGAAGCACACATGCAGACAGACAAAATGCAAAGGAAATCCCACAAGTAATTATAGAGCACAGGAGATACCACATTTCAATCATCATGCTACAACATTAGCCATACTAGAGAAAATGAGATAAAGAAGTTCACAAGCACTTTTCTTCAGTCCTCTTTGTTTCCTCTTTTGCATCCTATTGAATGAGTCAGCAGTCAAGAGAAGGACCATAGTTGTTCTAGCGATACATTTGAGAATACAAGAACATGAGATCAGGGTTGTGCCTTTTTAATCAGCTTTCCATCTTACACAAAGAACACCAGATACACTTAGATAGCCCACAAATAAGAAATATTTGCATATGGCGTGTATGTCTATGTGTCTGTGTGTATATGGCGTATGTGTATATATATATATGTGTGTGTGTGTGGAAATAGTAACAAAAATTACATATATATGTATGTAATTTTTAATTCCTAACAATTGAAACAATGTAGTAATAACAATATGAACTCAGAGAAACATTATATATGTGTGCATATAATTTTTTGTTAATGCTCATACTGTTATTACTATATTGTTTCAATTCACAAATGAAAATTTGTGCATACAAATGCATACAGATGAATCCCAAAGATTTCATTGATTAGCCAACTCTGGAAGTCAGAAGAATGAACTTTCACCGTTTGAGAGTTTGATATATATATTAGATGTTGAGATCATTTTAGTCTCACAGTTAACTTTGCCCTTATCCAGAATTGCCATACCATTTGTTTCCACTGGAATATTTTTTACAATAAAGTTGATAATGGCTTGATAAGGTGGCAGCAATTTTATAGGTACTAATATGCTTGGGGGTTGCTGCAAACTTGATTGGACTATAGGATCTAAAATTATGTTTTTTTCTAGAGATACAGAATTCTTACTAAGGGTTGTAAAACTCTTGAAACACTCTCCTGCACAGTTTTCAGTAAACAAAATAAAACTTGAGTTGATTATACAACAGCATCTCTTTGGTTGTTCTCTTAAAAGCAGTGAACTGTCCATTTTAATTTTAAATTTAGTCATCTATATGTACATGAGACATCTCAATTTCTTTCTGTTGATAAAAAAATTAAATAGTCCTGTTATTGCCGCTATATTTCAGGTCACCTGAATTAGCCTGTATTCTCCGCTGGTATTTAAAATTGCTCAAGTTTTCATACAGTTCATCACTGTGTTTAATACTGCTTTTGTGTAATCTGCATAATGGGTATGGTTAATCACAATCCCAATAATTTGTTCTCTTTCCAGTTGAAGAAGCTACATTGTCTATTCAAATGACTCTCACATTTGTATGGATGTACATTCTCAATTCCAAATTGCTGTGACATGTTACTTTGCAGAAATAGAAGAAGGCATTCATTTTATGAATACCAAAATAGAAAAAAATATATGAGGACACAGAAGATTACTGACCTGCTCACCAGGACGCAGGGGAAAATAGAAATAGAATTTCAAATATATTATCATAAGATGAATACTTTAATTTGTTGACAGAATTAGATTATTCAACAACACAATTAGATTTCAGTTTTGAAATATTGGTTCTACTGAATCTCCTTTTGTAAATGCAGAAAGTTTTCTCCAACAATGAGAAAGAAGACTTCATCCCAATGAGCAGATACAATCTAAGTTTCCCAACTCACAGTTTCTCTATATGTTGTTTTTTTTTAAAACATTCGTCTGAAAAATAATTAATTAGGAACTAAACGTAACTGATCCCAATATGTGGTGTTCTGTATTTCTTCCTCTTTTTTTTGTATGACTAATATAATTGCATACAATTTGTTTATATTGGAATGTAAATTAGTACACACTTTTTCTGTTCCCAATATTTTTATTTGAATAAACAAAAAAAACGAAACTACAAAAGTTAATTTACAGAGTCCCACTGTACTGTCAATTTTTTCCCATGCCCTGCTCAGTTAAAATTTTGAACCGGAGAAGAATTGCAGATACCTCATGAATGATACTTGCCTATTTTCAGACTAGGGTTATGAACCACAAATATTAATGCTCAGAATTCATTCATTGGGAGACTTGATTTCAGCGGTTAATAAATAACATAACTGCCTTGCCATCTCTACAGAGAAAAGAATCAAATTTCCCATCTATTTCGAAGTGGAGGCAGGATCAAAGATCTGCTATTATTCTCAGTTATCCCCCTTAGTCACTTCTGCTATGGGAAACTTGCTTCAGGCAATATTTGACAATAAAAGAATGTGGAGCCTTTGATTGTAGTCGCTTCAGAAAGGTTGGAGGGCATAGTTTGGTACATTAAGAAATCTACTTGCATTTGGACAACAGGCAAGGAACGCTAAAAGCGTGAAACAAAAATAACACAGGAACTTCACAGTTTCCACATTTTTCCCAGCCTTCCTTAAAGGCAAAAGCAAATTGGACAATTTGGAATAATTCAGAATGTTAATTTGCCAGATCCATGTAGATTCATGTGCAAGTAGGCAATTAAAATAATCATTTTAATAATTCGAGAGTTGCAGAACTGGAGAGTTATCCCACAACCTAATAATACAATAATTGTTAGCTTGCCAGAGTCATGTGTCTAAGATGGGCAACCATATAAACATATTAAATAAATAAATAAATAAATAAACCCACATTCAGTGGAGGCTGCTGCTCATTAATTGGTTGGCGTAATTATGAACTCGCCTGCCCAGTTGTACAGTGCAACTATCTTTTTTTCAGCTTTGCAGAGTAGATCTCACAAAGGGATCCTGAACTCCTAGAACAATCTACAGATTGCTCTCTCTTGAAAACTTCACATCCAGATGCTGAATTGCTACAATAGAAGAGATATAAATCAATATTTAACACTCTGCTATTTGGAAAATGTGGCTGCCTCAGTTCCCAGATCATGACTTCATTAGTAAATGTCAAAGACAATTTCAAAACAGAGCATATATGAATTTGAAACTACTCATCTTTACATGTCATCTAATAAAATTGTCATCGCTGTAACCTGAACACTTTTTTGGATGGTAATAACATACTTGGAAAATAATACAAGTGCACTCTGTATTGCTGATAATATCATATCTTCTGTCAAAAAAATTTCTCAGTCCCATGAAGAAGGAACAGTGGAAATGTTTTTCTTGGCTCTCCCCCCCCCCCCCCCGCCATTGATGTAATTCTAGTTCTTTTCACTTTTATTGTAAAATGCATGGAATTTGATAAAAGTGTTTTCTTTAGTTTCCACACAATTGAAGATTAGTTCTTTTGCTGTTCTATTGTCCAAAGATAAGACAAGACATCTCCTTCATTCAGCGACTTTCCAAGCCATGTTGAATGTTAGGAGCAGTGGTTCTCAATCTATTCTCCACTATGAACCTCCTTTAAATACCTTTTGTGGCCATGGTTCATGACCACGGACCCCCAACACTTAACTCCATATTTAAATCATAACATTTCTTCAAGCCTTCGCGCACACACCCCATGACATTGCCGCCGCCCCCCCGGGTTCCACAGACCACAGGTTGAGAACCATTGGTTAGGAGCATTTCAAAATGAATAGGCATATCGTAATTAGGTAAAGCCTTTTTTTTTTTTACTCTTTTTCTCTCCCCTACATATTGTACCCTAATGGAATGTCTTAAAGAGTATAGGATTATCTGGAAGCAAACTAATCTTCCTCTTATGCAATAGTTATCCCTTAGATGTTCTGTTCTGATATTACAATGGATGTAAAGAGACATAGGGGTCTCTGATGCTCCTGGGCTCTCTGCTCTGATATAACAAGGAAACTGAGTCACTAAATCAATAGCAATAGCACTTAGACTTATATACCGCTTCATAGTGCTTTACGGTCCTCTCTAAGCGGTTTACAGAGTCAGCATATTGTCCCCAACAATCTGGGTCCTTATTTTACTGATCTTGGAAGGGTGGAAGGCTGAGTCAACCTTGAAACTGATGACATGTGAACTGCCAAACTGCTGGCAGACAGTGATCAGCAGAAGTAGCCTGCAGTACTGCACTCTAACCACTGTGCCACTGCGGTTCATAATACAGGTGGTCCTCAGTTCATGACCTTTGGTTCAGCAGCTGTTTGAAGTTACAATGGTACTGAATGCTTACAACCACTCCTTGTACTTATGGCTGTTACAACATCTCCACAATTATGAGATCAAAATTCAAGAGCGTGGCCTGCTTTCAATTATGACTGCAGGTTACACTTAAATTCCCACCTGCTTGTATCCTCCCCCATTTCTCCCCTTTTGGCTTTCCTGCACTCTACCCTTGCTGCCCTGACCTTTGCCCTGCAGCCCCACAGCCCTGCACTCTGCCCTTCACTGCCCCCAGCTGAATTTTACCATCTGCTTCCCAGTGCTGACAAGGTTTGCCCAGCCTGGCCATTCATGAGGTCCTTCCAAAGCCTTGCAAGGCCCTCCTGAGGTTGCACATGGCCAGCTCATGAAGGATGGGCACCCCTTCAGCAGCAAGAGGAAGAGAATGGCAAAAGTCACCTGGGGATGCCATTGGATGGCAGGGACAAGGGAGTGCAGGGAGGTGGGTTGCAGACCAGAGTGAGGGGTGACCAAAAGAGCCAAGATAGAGGAGGGAGATAGGAGGCTTGGAGGAGTTGAAATGGAGGTGAATGCAACAGGGCAGGAAAAGTGTGAGATCCTTGACTAACAACAGTGTTGTTCTGCCCTATTGACCACACCCGAGACTACTGGAACTGCCATCACTAGGCAGTGTAGTCATGTGATGTTTCACCCAATGACCACTTCACTTAGTGATAGAAATTCAAGTCCCAGTTAGGGTCATTAAAGGAGGACTCTTTGTAATAGATTTGGGAGACTCTTAACTTTATCAGATAAATGAGCTAAATCTGGAGAAATTTACATAATGTTTTATTCAGAAATGAATGAACTTGAACAAAAGGTATAGTACTTCCTCTTTCCAGATGTGTAGTCCAGAGGCGTTCTGGCATGCTGGGCTCACTGAATCTGATCCTTAAATAGGCCTCTTGATTAAGGTGTCTTGTAATTCTTTTATTCCCCTCCAGTTCAGATGCTGTGGTGTTTCCAACTACACTGACTGGTTTGAAGTGTACAATACCACACGGGTGCCAGATTCATGCTGCTTGGAATTTAGTGAAAACTGTGGACTTCATTCCCCAGGGACCTGGTGGAAAGCTGTGAGTATTAAATGTAAATCATGACTCAACTAAGAAGACTAGAATTTCTAGAATCTCCCAGTGAAAGAAAAATGTCATTACTTTGCCTATTTGCTACATGCTGTTGTGCCCATCTTTAAGGGTGACTAAACATCTATCAGAAAGGCTATTCTGACTCATTCATCCTAATTTGGCATACTTCTCAGACAACCAACCAAGAGGAGGAGAGTCTTAATAAATAGTTCACTTTTAAGTGTCAGTAGAAGTAAAAACACAGAACTCAAGAACGTGAGTCAAGGCAATTTCTAGTAATCTGAATGCTTGTGAAAGGCGCATAGAGGGATGCACTTCCAAAGCAGGCAGGTAAAGGTAAAATGGGGAGGGCAATTTTTATTAAGTCAAACGTAAACAGACAAATACACTTGAAAACATACCTAGTCCTATACAAATGTGCATGTAAATGTAAGACAGAGAAAGCAAGAATATCACGAGGAGCAAAAGGAATCAAGTAGGGAATAAAAACACAGCAAGGAGCAAAAAATGATATTGAGGATGGTGCAGGAGTCAAAGGGAGAGAGAGAGGCAAACAGATTGGAAACGAAAGAGGGAGAGGAAATTTGAGGGGTGTGTATATGAAATGAAGTGGTGGTTCACCTGGAGGGGAGCACAGGGATATGTCTATGGAAATTCTCAGTCATCCAGGTTGTGGTTGTCCCAAAAGTGCTTTAGTCAAAAGGCAACTGGACTTGGTTTTTTCCTTGAAGACGTTTCACTTCTCATCCAAGAAGCTTCTTCAGCTCTGAGCCGGAGAACAGCTGAAGAAGTTCCTTGCATGAGAAGCGAAAAAGGGGGGGGGGAATGAAGTCCAGTTGCCTTTTGAAAAAAAAAATCACTTTTGGGAGCGCAGGGATAGCATATAAAATCTTTATTTTGCCCTTGTGGGTCTTTTTTTCTACTTTGTTTTTCCCTACGTGGCTTCTTTCACTGCATGCATGCTTGCAGACTACGGTCTATGGAGATTCTCAGTCATCCAGGTCATGATTGTCCCAAAGGTGCTTTTTCAAAAAGAAAAATAAAGTCCAGTTGCCTTTTGAAAAGGCATCTTTGGGACATGCAGAAGATTATTTTTCAATTGCTGAAAATATAGATTTCTGCTTTAGCAGGAGGTTGGACTTGAGCACCTATATGACCCCTCCTAACCCCAGGATTTTTTTGAAACTGCCCCTTTTCCTCAGCTCAGTGCCAAGTTGATGTATCAACAGCAAGATTATTTTGAAGTATCTTTGATGGGAATGATAAAGGCAAAATGAGAATGCCTGTCTAAATCTTCTATGATCACTGAAAATAAGTTGAATTGCTATGACAACTAGCATCCATCTTAAATGGTAGTGGCTAATATACTGCATAAAAGTAACCTAATAGTAAACTCCTTGCAGTTGTTTCTTTCAAAACAATATTTGCTAAATATTGATCATTGTAAAAATCAAAATACTCTTCTTATATAGACTAGAATGTTGAGCAGCTACTCTCTAAACAATCAATTTTTATTTAGTAATTCACAAGCAAATAAAAGAAAAAAATCTTAATTATTTAGGATAAAAAAGAATGACCTGTAGGGGCCCAACTGAACTCCAAAAAGGAGCTGGACTCAGATCTTGGCCACAAAGACTTTAATTGCTGCAGGTATATGCTAAGCTCCTTAGAAGAAGTAGAAAGATGATAAAACCAGTGATGTTTTTTTTGTGTGTGTTTAGGGTAAAATAACTGGCAGGAGATATTCAATGGCCCATACATAGCAGGGAAAACAACCCCAGATATTTAAAAATCTTGACTTGTTCTATGGTTTATTTAGCCACCAGCCATGTGATTCCATAAATAAAAAGGCTGATTTCACTGGAACCAAAGGTTCTGCAAAGGAAGGAATAGCTGTTTTTTTCTGATTATGCTTTTCCTTTTCAGATCCAACAATCTTCAAGTATTGTTTTGGGATAGAGGTTCCTTCCTACTAGTGCATGGGAGTCAAACTCGCTGTATCATGTTGCCATCACGTGATATTTCATGATGTTTTTCCCATTCGCGGAGCAGGGGTGGGCATGGCCTGTGCGTGATGCATTCGGCCCGCGGGCCGCCAGTTTGACACCCCTGTAGTGGGTCTGTGTCTGTGTCTAAAAGTTCCAGAGAACTGCAGCATTGAGACAGAATCCCATTCTGTGAACCTTAGGATCAAACTTTAGCTTCTTGCAGAATGTGCCCAAGATGAGACCAGGAAACAAGAAAACAAGACTTTACAGTATAAGACAGCACTGCCTGGTTTTGTGTTGCCAGTTCAGGAGATTGCATACACAATATCCAATCTGCAGTGGTGGATGAGATCAACCGGCCTGTTGTCACAGCAGACACTGATAATCTCTGGGAAAGTCAGGAGTTATAGCAGGTATTGTAGGGATCAATGGCGAACTACTTCTGAAAAAGCTTGCCAAGAAAACTGCAGGACTTGTCCAGGCAGCCTCTGAGTATCAGACGTTATTGAATGGAAGAAAAAAATGTTTTAAAAAAAATTTCCTGACTGAATTATCAGTATATAGAGGTTTTCTACAGGGGGGGAAAGCAGTATCTTTCCCAAGGAACATTCCTGCATTCAGAAACTACTCTGGAATCCACCCAGGTGTACAAGAAGTTACCAGAGTGTGGATAGAGTATTGGGCTCACAGACTCAAATTCAACCAAACCCTTCATGAGCATACTCAAAAAGTTATGCTGAAAAATAAGTCCAAGGTGATATGTATCAAAACTAAAAGTAAATCCTACTTTTGATTCAATTGTTATTTTAAAACCTCTTGTCTTTATGAGCCGGGCTCGTAAATCCTCCTAGGAAATTATCAGTGCTAAAATATGACATACTGACACTGGGACTAACATGTTAGAACAAACGTAATGTCATCTGGTTACTTTGTGCTTCCTAGAAAGCAAGGTGAAGTATTTGGGTAATGATTTGTTTAAGCAATAATTGGTCTATAATTGCCTTCTCACATTCTTGCCCAGCATTTCTGTTTAAAGCACTGAGATTTACTATCCGATTTAGAAACACAGCAGTCTGATTTGAGGGGCATACATGAGAAGCAGACATTGTTCCTTTTTTTTTTGTTCATGAATCTTGCACAGAGTATCCACTTGAACTTCAGTTGTACAGTTTTTCTAGGCCTTTAAAGACATATTTCATTGCAAGAAAGTCCCCAGAGACACTTTTCATCTCCACTGGAAAGCTTAAATTGACACTGCCGATTACCAAGTTTGATATGAGTTGTAGGTTCTCCTTAGGTCATTGGCTTCCTTATAGCATAATGTTGTGTTTTTTTCCCTTTAGCCTTGCTACGAAACAGTGAAATTATGGCTTCAGGAGAACCTGTTAGCAGTTGGGATTTTTGGATTGTGCACAGCATTGGTTCAGGTATTTCCTGTGTGCTTTCTGTTTATTTTACCACCCGTGAAGGATTTAAATGCATCTCAGTTTATTTTTCAGAAATATAATCTGGTATTAGTAGCAAAATCCTATAAATCTTTCTCAAAAGGAAACTCCGTTGAATATATTCATTGATAAATTGATCTGGAATTGTAGCCTACCAATCAGAACTGCAAGAAGATTGATCTAAAGAAAAAGTTGTCTTCTTTATGTTGAATACTGTTTTGTTTTCTTGTTTGCTTATGTGCAAACGTGCAAACATCAACAAGTCCTGAGTGTTTAATGATCCTTCCTTGGTTTAATTAAAGTATCTGATGATATAAAATACCAATGGTTTCTACATAAAGTTGGTTAAGCTTAAGTTAATGGGGAATAGTAATTGACATTGTGCCTTAGCCTAAACTGCAAGAGATCCCTCATAAATGAATTTTTATTTGAAAGCAGGGCTGTTCAGTAATTAGCATATTTTTACTTGATCACTTCACTGCCTCTTACACTTTAAATCTTTTCCTCCAATCCTCAGAAAGTTGTTCTGAGATCCTAAGAACAGTATAAAGCTGCTTAAAATTAACAAACAAGAACTGTGATTAAAACCGCTTATATTGTACTGCATTTGAGCCAAAACAGGCAAATATGTTGTTAACTTACAGCCCCAACGATTTAAACATGTCATCACCATTTAGAATTAATCCTGTAGGGTTGTAGGATTCCCCCCCCTTCAAATTAATGTCACAATTTAATACAGAATTAAGGAGGCTAATCCTGTTGAAATCAGTGGATTTAACTATGCCCAACTCTCCAGAATTAGAGTAGATAAAATACATTTCTACTTTGTAATTCTCTGTTATTTTTATACCTGATTATTTGTCATGGTTTTCCCAGAAAATAGTAGAAAATGAAAATTAGATACGATGCTAGCCATTCTCTATTAGAGTTCTATAACATGCTTCAGAAAATTTCAGTTCAGGAGGTACTGTACATCAGTCTTTTGGTAGCATACAGTCTTGTGCAGATTATTTGTAGTACTCACACAAGAACAAGCCTATAAACCAGGGGTATCAAACTCAAGGCCCGGGGGCTGGGTCCAGCCTGTGAGGTGCTTAGTTCTGGCCTGCAGGGCTGCCCTGGAAATAGCAAAGGATCAGCCCATGGTGCCTGTGCCAGCGAAAACAGACCCCAGTTGGGAGCTCCGTTTTCTCTGGCAGAGGTTGCAAGAGGCCGTTGAAGCTGAAAACGGAGCTCCCATGCTCGGTTTTTGCTGGCAGAGGGTTGCAGGAGGCTGTTGCAGCCAGAAACGGAGCTCGGAAGCCTGTTTTCACTGTCAGAGTGCTTGGGCCACCACAGGTGCCCCGATATGAGTGATGTGGTGCTGGCCATGCCCACCTTGGCCCCACCCCAAGGTCAAACATAACCCTGATGCGGTCCTCGATGAAATTGAGTTTGATACCCCTGCTATAAACCATAATGGACACACCCAAGCATAACTTTGCACAGAGCAGAGTAAAGAGGAGGACAGGCCATGCAGCACAAGCCCTTACTTCTTCTGTACATGGGCAAAAGACTGAGGAGAAAGTTTGGCAGAATATGGAGGGTTCAGATGTCCTTTGGCAATGCCTACAGATGGAATCAACACTTAGCCTAACTGTTGCTCCCAAAATATTGTTTACCCTGGTCAGAAAATCCACGAGGAAGCAGAATGCCCAAGCAAAATAATGGCATAGATAGCCAAGCTGGATAAAAATAGATGGCGACTAATCAAGGAGAGAACCATCCTAAAATTAAGGAATAATTTCCTGACAGAACAAATTTCTATGGAGATTCTCAATCATCCAGATCATGGTTGTCCCAAAGTTGCTTTTTCAAAAGACAACTAGACTTACTTTGTTTTTCCTGAAGATGTTTCACTTCTCATACAAGAAACTTCATTCAGTCAGAACTAAAGAAGCTTGTTGGATGACAAGTGAAATGTCTTCAAGGAAAAACAAAAAAAAGCCCAGTTAGAAAAGGTGCTTTAGAAAAAGCACCTTTGGGATGACAGAACAATTAATCAGTGGAACATCTTGTTTCTTAAATTGTAACACTGGAAGTTTTTAAGAAGAAATTGGACAACCATTTCGTCTGAAATGGTATAGGGTTTTTTGCCCAAGCAGAGGTTTGGACAAGAAGACCTCCAAGGTTCCTTCCATCTCTGTTATTCTGTTAGAAAGGAGAGGGGCTCTTGCCCCTCTCCCAAATTATCTAACCTAAAGTTTTCATCAATATTGAATAAAGCTATGATTGAGTTATAATCCAGGTTTCTTTCCTCCAATTTCTTTTTGATTGTGAAGAAATTTCATAGCTCTCCTTTGGCTTTCCATTAGATTAGCCCGAAATTGAGCATGCCCTGTTGATTATGCAGAACTGTTTTATGTTAGAATTGGTATACCCTGGGTGGCATGGGAAATTCATTACTCCTTCTGGATCTGTAGTGTGCAACTGTGCTTATCATTAAAGAATAGAGATAAAGTTGCATGCTGTTTAATCCTGACAATGATTTTTGTATCTGCAGATTCTTGGACTGACATTTGCAATGACCATGTATTGTCAGGTTGTCAAGGCAGACACCTACTGTGCATAAAAATCATCTTCAGGGTCCATCAGCCACCTCTCCACAAGACAAAAGAGAGGACCCTCCATCCTGTTGTCATATTTTTTCTATGTAAAATAAACTGTATAATCCTCTATGGAAAAATTGTGGATCACCCTAGTTTTGTCACACCACTCAAACGGTATCATCGTGGAACTCAGACTTGCTCCGACAAAAATAAATTCTTCTCTCTAAAATGGCAAGAAAACAAAGAAAGGAGCGGCTCTCTGTTGCACAGACTGTGGTTTAGTCCGAGGCGGAGTTTAATCTCTGCAGGCTGTTGACAAATAGAAATGTTCCCATCTAGCCCTATTTCATCAGTTCTCAAAGTACAGGGAGCCCTTTCTCATGATGATAGAGAGGATGTGGAGCAGCCATTTCTTAGCATTTGGTTTTAGCCAGCCTAGCACCTCGGCCCAGGGGCATATGCTTTGGACTCTCAAAATTGTGTCATGGAATGAGAGGTCTTTGGGGAAAGCGTGAAGAAAGGGTTTCAGATGTCGAATCAGATCTGGCTTGTAAACAGAACTGGAATTCTTACTCTTTAAATCAGTGTGTAATGATGTTCAAGTACTAATGTCTGAATACAACCATATAGATACACACCGACAATTCTAGCAGCTGCCTACAAAGCACATCAGTCTTCTTTTCCTTTGTATTCCACGGGACCATGGAGTCAAATGGAAAGATCTCCTAGGGAAGAAACTTGGGCCACTGAAAAACAAGCAATTGCATCAAACAGATTTATTCTTCAGCGGATATGTAATCACCTTTCTGTCATTGTCCTCTGGATTTTCTTTTAAGTGTCATTCCAGTTTTGGTGTTCCAATATATCCCTTATTTTCTGTTGTTGGTCCCTTTGTCTCTTTGCCTTTTCCTTAATTTGCTATATCATATTTTTACCTTTAAATAGGGTAGATTCATTAGGGGGGGGAAAAACCCATGCTGTAAACATGCTTTGTAGCTGCTTTTTAAAGAAACAAATTATTCCAAGAAGGAATTGAGAGGTTTGAATTGAAGAAATTCCCCACTAACCAAAAAGGTTTTAAACAGACATTCATTTCCCTTTTTTCTTTTCTCTGCATTAATATACATAGAAGAACATGCAGGTAAAGATTTTCAAGCACATTCCCATCACTGTTTACAACCATAGGCTAGTGAAAGGCTAGCATAGATTATCTGCTCTCTGTCTCAACAATGAAGATTTAGATCAAAATGCTTGATGGATTAGCTGTATCTGTCTTGCTTTAATAAATCATATATCAATAAAATGAGTGGATTATCATTGTAGGTGAGCACTAATATGTGTGTTAATACCTGCATGCTGAAAAAAGATTGAGCAGACTTAGAATGCATAGTTGTAAGCCAGTATTTTTTAAAAAAATTATATACCACTATAATGATATATTATAGTTATGATAGATATCATAAGATATCTATGATATCATAACTGGAACTGTTCTTCATCATGAATATGGTGTTCATGATCTTAACATCCAAGAATTTATGGTCAGTGTGTATACATTGTTAGTGCACTCAGAGGCCATTTAAAGACAGTTCCCTTCCCTTCTGTTCTGCTCAAAAAAATAAAAATAAAAGCAAAGGGACATTAATTCAGCCATTTCCTTTCTTTCCATCCTTTTACGTTCAGTAGATCATTGTTTATTTTTCCAGTAATGGAAGCTAATGAGTCAGGTTGGTGTGGTGGTTAAAGCACCAGGCTAGAAACCAGAAGACAATGAGTTCTAATCCTGCGCCTTAGAAGCAAAGACAGCTGGTGGGTGACTTTGGGCCAGTTGCTCTGTCTCAGACTGAGGAAGTAGGCCATGGCAAACCACTTCTGAATTCTTGTGAAGAAACCTGCAAGGACTCGTCCAGGCAGCCACCAGGAGTAAAAACTGACTCAAAAGTACCCCCTCCCAAAAAAGGAGGACAAGACCATGCAACCCTGTGTTGAGGCCTGTAGGTTAATACAAGTTATTTTCCCCTTAATATTCATAGCTCTTTGAAGTATATAAGAATGAAAGTTTACAACTGCAAAAAGAGAGTCAACCATATAAAATCAAGGCCAACCATATCAGTAAAACCTAACACCCTTAACTAAGATCTCCCTCTGCAAAACTAAAGTTTCATGATTCCATGCAGTGTGTGTGGGGGGGGGGGGGAATCCTACATCTGACACATATGCTTGATTGATGACAAAGCAGCCAATTTAGAGTACAGTATTATCCATTTATAAACTGTATAAATAGCTTCAATACAAATATACAAAGAAGAAACATGAAATGTGACAATATCTTGACTATGATAGGAAATCTAGAACATTCTAATCATTTTCTGTAAAGAAGCACTACCTCAGGGCTGTAATTCAAGAAAGAAGTAGTATAGGTTAGGATTTGATCTTTAGACCAACTGGTGCCCATGCTCTATAGAAGTGCTCTCCAACTGTTTCGCACCAGGGGCTGGTTTCATGGAAGACAATTTTTCCATGGACAACCTAGATCCCATGCATGTGCAGTTTCACTCGCCCACCACTCACCTCCAGTTGTGCTGTCTGGTGCCTACAGGCCACGGATCAGTACTGGTCTGTGGCTCAGGGATTGGGGACCCCTGCTCTAGACCAGTGTTTCTCAACCTTGGAACTTCAAGATGTGTGGACTTCAACATCCAGAATTTGCCAGCCAGCATGGTTGGCTGAGGAATTCTGGAAGCTGAAGTCCACATATCTTAAAATAGCCAAGACTGAGAAACACTGCTCTAGAGTTTATCAATTAGCATATTGCCTACCCAAATTCATACATGAGTGAAGAGTTGAAGAGTCCAGCAGTAGTCAGTCATAGCAAATGTATACAAATTCCTATTCCACCCTGCAGTTGACACTTTTGATTCCTCTTGTCCTATTAAATGTGCATACAATGGACAAGTTTGACTTTAAGCAATAATGTACATGTTATTTTCCAATTATTCTGTAGTTTTGATTCTTTCCCCTACACAAGAACAAAGAGTGACTTTGAAATTCCATTGCTCTTAGTTGTCATTGCTCATTATTTTTGACTGTTTTACAAGCACACCTACTGACAGCTTTTAGATTGCCGTCTCTGAAGACCGTTATCATAAAATAAGGCAATACGAATAAAAAATAGGTTCTAAAAGTAAAAGATGAGTTCTAAAAATATTAAAGTACTCCTGAACATCCCCTTTATACAAATAAAAGTAGGTGACTCAGCAGAATTACTCACAGAAATTAAGTCATAGAAGTGAGCAGGAATCTCAGTAGGGAATGTTGGTGTTAGTCACGAAGTCGTATCCGACCCATTGCGACCTCATGCACAACATTCCTCCAGGCCTTCCTGTCCACTACCACAGCAGGGAATAGGTAGGCATTAATCATTTCTTAATACTGATTGAAAAAGAAAGAAACTAATAACAAAGCCCAAAAGTTAAACAATAACCTCAAAGGCTTCCTGAATTTTACAGAACAAACAGTAACAAGCATTTCATAGTTTGGAAATCTAGATGAATAGCCTTGCTGTCTATTGTGTGTATGCTGGCCATTCACTGCAAAGATGGAGGACTTGCTGTTTCTGCAACATCACAAGAAGATAGGTAGGGTTTACACTTGTTGGGTCTTTGTGTTTAGAAGGCCAAGATAATTCTAAGCTGGGGATTTAATTTTCAGTACCCAAACTGAACCAGCTAGTAATGTTTTCATATTTAACCTTATTATTTATTAAGTTTATAAGCTGCTTTAATCACTAATGACATGTGAAAGGCCACTCTTTGCTTTCTAAAACTTTATTTCAGGAGATTAATTTTAATGGAAAGACTACTTTCTTGCTGTTGTTAAATAATTGGAACCTCTTTTCAGGAAACTGTACATCACCTAAATATCTAGCATCAGATTCCAATATCCCTTCTGCATTGCTGGCAACATAAACAATTCCACACCTATTGAGTAACCCTAACCTAAAAAACACCATCATGTTAGTAACTTTAAATATCTTCATAGGAAGCCTAAATCATCATCACACTATCCAGAGAGGATGCTGTTCTTGTTTCACAGGACATTGTCATGACAAAAGGCAGGTGCTGAAAATCCAAGGAACATAGTTGTATAATGAAATACTTAAGACATTTTTCTTTAAAGCTGTTAAAAGAAAGTGTACAGAACCGAATGCAACATAGAGAGCCTTTACTTTGAAATGAGAGGAACTAAGACTGTATACCATGGGGAATTACTTGCTTCTCAGAAACTTCCTCCTTATGCACATTGGAAAAACCTTGGTGCTAAAGCAAATCCTGGCTGCCTGTAACACAGAAATCAAACAAATTTAGAAAACCATCACCAGCCGTTAGACTAGGTACCTGTAGCTAACACAACAGACTACTGTATACTCATTATGCTTCATTAATTGGTTGCTCAAATCCCTGTTCAGTGTTTTTTGGGGGGATTTTTAGGGCAAAAAATAATTGAGCACAAATAAGCAACAGTAAGTAATTTTTACAGTTCCAATTGAAAGAAGGAAATGCTTGTGATACTTTACTAATTCTTTAGTGACATGTGTATTCCAGACAGCATTCAAGAAGCCAGTGCAATTCCTTTTCTATGTTATAAGCACAAGGCTTTAAATATATAATATGACCAAAGCCATTTAGGATCAGCTGTGGAGCCTTCCCCCCCTAAAGGTTCAGGTTTGGGTCCAGGGTGCTTAATTTCTGTTTCATGGCCCAAAGACTTAAAAGTCAATGCAAATTAAGGATGTGAGTTTACATTTCTGTCTTACTTGCTAGGAATGTGTCTTTTGTCTATTGTGAATATTCCTAAAATGATGTGTGCTTTAATATACTGTACAATAGCTAATAATAACTATCTAGGTTTGTTACCTATGGGGGGGAGACTGGGAGAAGGAAGGTTCAGCCCAGATTAAATAATAGGTTTCTAATCTACAATATGGTTTTTCTAGCATATTATGTTAGGATCTCTCTTTCAGTTTGCCATGTTAAAAGGTACATTTGCCACATATGCTATGGAAGAACACGCACCTTAGAAATCAGAGCATAAAGACTTCTTTAAAATTGTGCAATGATGTTGCTGATAGCACAAAGTAACTCCCAGGAGTTTCCAGTCAACACAGCCACTGACAACAGCATCAGGAGGACACCAGGAATTGGGATCACTAGAGATGGGGCAACTTAATGCTCTCCAGTTATCCTGAACTACAACCTTCATGCAGGTGGACCTTGGTGGGATATTGAACTCTCCAGAGATCTGGAAGGCACCCTTTTAGAAAAGGCTGGATTGGAGTCTCCTAATCATGTACTAAGGTTCTACCTAAACAGCACCAGAACAAGAGTGCATAGCAATCCAGGTTTTTTTTTTTTTAAAAAAAAGACCACGAATGACATGCAAACTTATTCACTGTATGTCCTGCATGAGATCCCATAGATCTCAGTGGAATTTACTCCCCCCCATACTGATGCACAAGGCTACAGCCTTCAAATCTTGAAAGCTGTTTTTCCAGATTATGTCAAGCAAACATGAGTTTGCTACAGCGGATACCCTTGACTAAAGCTCAACTCTAGGTGTGACAAAGCATCAATCCATCCCTGGCTTTATCCTGTACATTTTTAAACGCATACAAAAAAAGCAACAACAGGAAAACCACAGGGTGAGAGAAAGATGCTGCTCTTTCCTCTTCGACTGTTTTGTTTCTTTAAAAATTGCCACCCAAATGTTTTTTCTTTGCAGCATTATCCACTATAGTTACCCTACAAAAGACAATCTGTTTAAGACAGAAGCACATTCTGAGACAAGAGCATGAATGGCTTTTCCCATTGCCTGATCACCACCCACTGCACAAAACTGGTCGCACCTTCAAATGTTCAACCTCTCAAGTCTGAAAATCCAACTAGAAATCCCAGGCAAGTTACCTAATTCAAATACAAGTCACATCCAGTTTAGGTCAGAGATTTGCAGTAACCATCTACTCATGGCTATGTATATATTTGCAAATCATTTGGTATTTCTAGATAAGCACATAGAAAATGTATAAAACATAACATGAAGATTTCCCAAAGTTCTAACAATGATGTGAGAGATTGGAGGTCCTCTGCATCTCCCGTCTACAGTTTTGTAAATGTTGCTCTCCATTTTACAAAATGTTTTTATTATGTGGCTCTACTTCTTTTCATATTCCAGTTTTCATATAACTACTTTTTTTAATGTTACCTGTTACTATCCATTGTAGTTTTTCTTGGTTCCTTGGGTATTCTTGCAGCAAAAAGGAATGGTATATTTTCATGCACCTCATAGGAAAATAAAGCTATACATTATTTTTTAAAAGCTTATTAAATATTCTTTAAAGTTTACAGCAGATTGTGTTTTGTATTCTTTAATATTTCTGTATACAATAATACTAATACTCTTACTAAAACACTTTCGAGTTATATTTATGTGGGGGAACTACACAGCACATTTTCTCTATATTCATTTTGTTCCTATTTGTGCGATTGGTGGCGGGTGCTACAATAATTTAGTATTGTTTTGTACGAGGTCGATTTTTTCATTGAATACAACCTGCTGCAATTCAATTTTATGGCTTAAAAATTACACAACTTGGGTTACTGCACTTACATGAACCTGTAAGAATTTGTTTACACCCTTTGAATAAAATTGGTTTGGAACTTCTCTGGCCCGCTCTGGTGCTGACATTTATATGGTTGCATATTTGCTGTATTTTAAAGTCCTTCGCAATCAAACATTCATATGTGTGTGGTTTTAAGAGATGCATCATTGAATAGTTCAGGATCTTAATAAAAATAATACGGTATTTAAAAATAGATCATGCCTGGAACATAAACAAAAAAATATCAATGTAGTCATACAAATAAAATGCAGCTATATAGAAAAAGGATCCATGTCAAGTATCAGTGATGGAATTCTTAGGAACTTCATTGCATTAAAACAAGGGTGGGGAACCATGGGCTCTTTTATGACTTGTGGACTTCAACTCCCAGAATTCCTGGGCCAGCCATGCTCCCCTACCTCAGCATTAAAGTGCTGTAAATAAAACATGGTTGATGATTGAATATATCATTTTTTTTTGTTTACTGAATACTGAACCAATAATCCACTGAGTGGGATCCTTAGTTTGTGTGTCCATGTTTATGTTAAGAATTTTATATTTTTTATTAAGAATTTTGATTATAATAGAAAAATCTATTACGTTTCTTTAAGCTTACATTATTTAAGTTTGAGAAGTTTATTAAGTTTAAGTCATGATTAACTTTTTATTTCATTCAAGATTGAGGGCAGACGTACCTGGCATTTTCAGTTTTGTTAGTCCAACGTAGTTTAGACGTAGTTAATGAGCAATTCCTGAAAATAATTAGGAAGTGAGATTTGAGAATTTAGTGTTCTCTAAAATGCTCCTTCACGGTTGTTAGCAAGATGGCTAATCTTGTCATCTCTCAATGTTCACACCCAGACTCCCCTTGCAGGAAGCAGCCAACTAGAGCACACGTGGGAAATCTCCCACCCTTATCTGGAGTGGTTCCAAGGAACTGTCCTACTTATGGTTTCTTGGCCTTTGCTACAATTGTCAGCTCTGCATTTACAGAGTTGTCTTCAGTTTGCTATTCCTCCCCCAGAAGTTCAAATAGGACTGTGTTGGCGAACCTATGGCACACGTGCCACAGGTGGCCCACAGAGCCCTCTCTGCGGGCATGCGAGCCATCGTCCAGCTAAGCTGAACCCTGCATGTGCACGCCCTCCTGCTGGCCAGCTGATTTTCGGGTCTCTGTTGTGCAGGATGGAGTGCATGAAGAGATGCATGTATGGGCAGGGGGCAAATGCACGTGCAGGGAGTGGGGGGAGCGTGTGCATGCACGGGGGTGAGGGCAGCGTGGCGGGGGGGTGTTCTGCATGCTCCCTGAGGCCCATTTTGGGCCTAGCAGGCCTCCCTGCAGCCACGGGGGACAGCCTGTTTTTGGTCCCAAGAGGCTGCAGAGAGGTCTGCTAGGCCCAAAATGGGTCATGGGGGGTCGCACGCGCATGCATGTGGGGTGGGGGGAGTATGTGGGGGGTTCGTACGCGCATGCGCGGGGGTGGGTCACGGGGGGTCACGCATGCATTGCTTTATGGGTGCAAGCACCCGGGCGCGCTGTCGCACGCACATGCACACACTTTCAGCACGTGACAACAAAAAGGTTAGCCATCACTGAAATAGGGCATAACTTCAAGTCTCTGTGTTAACTTTTTCCCCTGAATCAATTCTGATCTGTCAATATATCTCTGTGGAAATGGGTATCCAGAATTATGCTTAGTAATCATGGCCTTATCTTCAGAAGGCTTACAAAAGAATTATTTTAGTATCTGCTATACCATCTTTCCAGGTTTTGAAGTTAGGAAAGTTCCTAAATCAATAAAATGTAAAAATCAATAAGGACTTTTCTTTTTAAATATAATATCCCCCTTATTTGGTTTCTATGATAAATTTATTATAGCTTAAGTATATTTAAAAGGATTTGAAATCTCAGCTATTAAGGCATAATAAGCAATTTATAAACACTTTCATAATAAGCAATGTTACGAACACTTTCAAGGGTATGTTGACATAATGAAGGAGATGTTGGAAATCAGCAAGATCTTGAGACCCTTAACTGCATATAGCTCTTCAGCTGCAATAATTATATATATAATTTCAACAACGATGCATATATCTCATATTATAAAATGTATATTAACAATTTAATAGCACAAAAATTGCCTTTACATCTGTCATATTAGGTCAGCTAGTAAAAGCATCTGTGACTTTCAATTAATGAGTTATCTTTGTTCCAAGTCACATCTAGAGTACAATTTTTTTTCTGGAAAAAAAAACCCTAATGGATAGACCTAAGGGAGGAAAAAAAAAATTAAATATAGAACAAATGTAAACTGGATTTAAGTGGAAGGTTTTAGGTTCAAAACATATAAAGACTACTTTACAAAATCCTTGCTCATGAGCAATATATAATGGTATAAAAACAACAGCTCTAAAGAATCATTATGTTAATGTATTATAATAAAGTAGTTTTGTCTGTTACTGATTTCAGATAGAATCCAAAAAGCAAAATAAAACAATAAAGTCAAAAAGTGAAAGTTAAAATTCTGGCATGCTTAGAAATGAAACTGGTTGACAGGAAGATATGCCCATTGACTTTTCAACTGCTTCCAGAGGGAATTGGAATCTTCAAGACCCCTCTCCCATCCACACTGGGTCCACAATCATCCAAAAGTCATTTTGGGTTACGGCTAAGTGATCCAATTCAAATCCAGGGACCAGCACCACCAAAGAGCCAGTTTTCACAGTGAAATTAGCAGATTGTTGGTAAGAGAAAAAAGAAAACCTTGCTGAGCAGCAGCCATCTTGAAAGGAGGGCAAACCATAGATAATAAGGTTGGTACAATACAAAAAAATAATGTTAAGTATATTATTGCTTCTATGAATGGCATGGTGGCCTACAGATGAAAATGCTCACCTCCCACTTGGAAAGTTGAGAGTTCAGTCCTAGACAGCAACAGATGTTTCTCTTATCCGAGCACAAAGAGAAAATATCTGCTGCAAACTACACGTAGGAGTCAGGAAGGGTATCTGGCAAGTAAATGCTCAGCTCCATTCAATTGCCCCAATTGCACCCTGAGAATTACAGGGTCGTAAAAAGAAAAAAATACTATTGTTTCTGAATCTGTTTCCCTCTGTGAATGATGGTTAAAGTTTTGCATTAAGTTAAAAGCAGACAATCTCGTGCCATGATGGTGAACCTATGCACGTGTGCCAGAGGTGGCACTCAGAGCCCTCTCTATGAGCACGTGTGCTGTTGCCCCAGCTCAGCCAGCTGGTTGTCGGGTATTTGACGCGCACATGCATGCCGGCCAGCTGGTTGGGTTTCCGAGGTGTGCATGCATGCCGGCCAGCTGGTCATCAGGTTTCTGGCACTCTGGCGCACGCATGCATGTGCCAGGGGTGGATTCTATTTACCTTTACTACCAGTTTGCAATGGGGCCGCGTGTGCACATGCGCAGAAACTTTCTGATAACATCGGGGTTGGTGAGCGGAGCTTCCCCTCGGTTTTACTACCAGTTCTTGCAAACCGGTCCGAACCGGGGGCAACCCACCAGTGGCGTGTGTGCATGCACTTTCCAGTTTGGGCCTAAAAGGTTCGCCATCACTGATCCAGTGCCTAAAGTTGTTTTCAGCAATGCCTATAACCTCTTGTTAATGGTTAAGCTGTTGTCCAGAACATTTGGAAGGCACCAGTCTCGTTGGAAGTCTTATTCAGAAACTCTCCGAGAGATATTTCAAATTATTTGAGACATTCACAGTTCAATTTTTAAAATGCAGGTTTATGAATCCTATTTCCTCAGAACAAATTGAATAGTTCTGCGGCTTACTGACCCTATCTTTAGTGATCTTAATACAAAGGCTTCAGAAAAAAAGAGAACCACAGAAGGAGTTTGGGCTTCATTATGCAAAGAGTTGAAAGTACTTGCCTATCATAATTTATCCTCACATTGGGGAACTAACAATATGGAGTGTTTTCTACCTTGGAAAGTCAGGCCCCGCTGCTTCTGAAATGAGTTCAGCTGTGGCAAATTTCACAAATATTCTTGCCCATAACCTTTTAAAGTTAACTTGTTTGTCAATTTACCCTCATTTCTGGCACTTCAGAAGGCTGGCCAAGCAAAGAAACAGGGAATAAAATTGCTGATGAGAAACAGTAGTTGCAATCCTGGATGGCCCCATAAAAAAACAAAAAAAAAAAAAACCCTGAAAGATGTGTGATGCTTAAACATGGTGGCAATCAGCTCCACCCCTCCCCCATATATGATCAATCTTTTCAAACTATTTTCACATTTTAAAGGTTTGGCACTTTGGCTGATTATAGACTACTGTCTGGATTTTTCCAGTATCATAATATAATAACCATTTACTACATCGAGGGGAGGGCAAACTATTTGCTCTCATATTGATCAGTATTTTATTTTAGCTGTTATTCCTTTGTTGTTTGAAAAAGCTTGGCTGCTTGGATAAAGATTGCCTTAGAAGTTTGTAAAAAAAATCTAAGGTTTTGTGTTTGCCCTTCCATATGGAACATAAAGAATTTCAAAAACTGTTTGGTGACGTGTAACACAATTCAGGGCAGTGCAGTGGTTAAAAAAATGGTAGAGTCTGCCCTCCTTCATTGACGTTCACTGACTGATTGAAAACCAGCTACTCCTCTCAGCCCAACCAACTTCACCACATCTGGTTGTGGGAACACCATGTATGCTGTCTTGAATTCCTGAAGGAAAGGCAGGATACATATCTAACAAATCAACAAATGTGTGAGTTTTAGGGCCACCTTCACATAATGTAGACAGTTGAATGCCTTTCTTATTTAGAACTAGACAATAGTTCCTTTATTCCTCTGATGGGACCCACAAGAAATACTGCATAGATGCATAGTTTTAATCCTTAAGCAGCTTCTTTTAGCATTCCATGGGGGCAGAAGCATTCAATTCAACCAGCCTCTCCCTATTTGTTCAGGAACTCAGACACATGATCCATATTTTTGGAACAGTGAAGGCACCCTGGAAACATTGGTAGCAGATTTATTTTCTTTGTAACAAGTAAACATTTTATGTCCCTAAATAATAAATCATAA